ACGCACTGTACGGTCTGAAGGATCGCCTCGCAGTGATGGAGAAGGACAAGGCCCATGGGGACGTCGCCTTGCAACAGTGTAATGACGAATTGTTACGTGTCAGCGGTTGTTTCGAGCAGGTGCAAAATGAACTGCTCGACAGCAGGAAGACGGTGCAATCATTGAACGACAGTAACTCAGTGCTTAGACACAGCCGTCGGCTATTCATCGAACGACTGAACGACGTTCACGGAAAACTGCATACATTAAAGGAGGACGTCGCACAACAGAAAGAAGATATCTCCTCTATAATGGCAACCTTTTCAGCCGTGCTTTTGGATGTTTCATCGCGACTTCTGTCGTCAAGCCAAGCGGTCGCGCTCGAGAGGGAAAAGCTGGTGGCTCTGGTCAGCCTGAAGCACGAAGAAAGCGTGCGCTATCATCACGAATGGCAGCGCGTGGCCGAGCTGTTGCAGCATGAGAGGGCGTTGGTTGAACAGCTGAGCAGACAACAGGTATCCATCACTCGTTCCTCCGTATCGAACGCAGAAACCAGTACCGAAAATGACGAGTTGATGGCCGGCGAGGAGCAACAGGTCGCGGCCCTGTCGTTGCAGCTGCAACAGGCGAATGCAACCATCGCGCAGCGTGACTCACTGGTGAATAGTCTAAGCGCACAGGTCGAAGACATCAAGCAGCGTTGCAGACAGGACATTGTGTCAGTGCTCGAAGAAAGGGACCGTTTGTTGTCACAGGTCTCTTCGAACAAACAGCTGGAAACGAGTTTTGCAAATCAGGTGAGAGTATTGATGTGTCGTTTACTTTTAAGTCATGAGGATATCAGAACGTGGAATACATCAGACAATAAATCTTCAATTAAATGCACAGAAAATGGTGATCGCGGGGATATCATTATTTTCAACTGCGGTTAAGATTTGTTGTAAATGCAAATTTTGGAAGTTACTGTATATTTTTTTAATCAGCATATTATGCGCAAAATTTCGAGACTGGTTTCATTTTCTACATCGTCACTTACTTTTAATTGGTCACTGATTGTACCTTGACGGGACTCTGAATTACCGTGTAGCGTGGAAAATAGCGTATTGTTTTATGTTAGCTCTGCCCTCTTAAGCCTAGATATAGCAGTATTACCCGCCTATACATTTCTGATGTAGCGATTCCAGCTTATACCTTCCTCAGCGCCGTTCTATCGAGAATAGCGCTTGATAGGGTTATATTTCAGATGCGGCTTCTTCAAGAGGCGAAGGGTCACTCAGACAGCGAGGTGAAGCGATTGAAGGATCACCTCATATCGATGGAGGAGGCTTATACTCAAGAAGCAGTGAAGTGTGAGGAACGCGAGATCAGCTTACGCGACAGAGTGCGAGACCTCGAGGCACAGTTGTCCAAAACAGCTGAAGACAGCCAAGTCAACA